AAAGATGTTTGTCATAGAACACCTTTCTGTCTACTCATATCTGCCATATCTCAGGAATGTAATGGATTTTGATCGTGCTTTTTGCTGTATAGATTAGCGAACCCCGTACAAATCTTTTGTATTCTTGATAAGGCTTCAAGTAAACAAAATGATCAGTACGTTAAAACATTACCCACTATTCTTATCCTGTCTGAAATTACAGGCAGGTGCGAAACGCATAACAAGTATTCTCTGATTTTATTTAAGATGCTTTGAAGACCCAATTTATTTAATATTATGAAGCACATTTGTTTGTTTTTATACATTACCCAACAAAATATTCGATTTACTTAAATAGTTACTAGAAAATCTCACGGTATCATCATTGTATTTTATGTGACTGTCAAAATTAGCATACTCATCTGATATCCTAGTTACACGTGACTGTAGATACTGATTAAGCTTAAGGCAGTTAGAATTAATTGGTTTATAAATTTTTGGTGGTGTATTACTATATTTACCAAGGCATTTTTTAAATTTTTTTCAATTTCTCAGTTAAAACAATGTCAAAAAAGATCTCTTTCGTATACTTACCTACCTATAATGATCATAAAATATTATATTTACTGATCAAACTTTCTCATTTATAAAGTTTATTACTAATCTATCTACTCCACTTATGACAGGCAGAAGTCGAATTACACTTCATTCACTGAAAGTATACATTCTAAATCACCAGTTTATTTGCCTTTTCTCTGCTATGATACAGAATTTGTAAAGAATTAGTGAATTGTAAAATTTCTCGAATATCAAACTTTTTAATAATACCCCTAGGACTAATGTGTTACTATTTTTACATTTATCCAGTTAAATAATAGTAGTCTATTTGTCTATCATTTAATTTGATTTCACCCCAGACTATGGACATTTGATCAATGATATTAGTTTCTTTTTTTTGTCTAATTAATTTGATCAGTATTTTCTTTTAAGGAAATAAATTGTCTATTTCATCATATGCTATAAAGAAAATTATTTTATGAAACCTTATTTAAGAAAACACTGTCAGATAACTAATCAAAATACTTTATGAAATTATCAAGGACTAAATAATTTTATTGGAATATAAAAGTATAACTTTCAAATGTTTATGTTCAGTAATAAACCTTCTCTTAGACTCCAAAAAAATATAAACTTTGTAAGGGTAATCCGATAAAAGTTAATCTGTTTTGTTTTGTTTTGTATTCACCTTGACTTTGAAGTTTATTAGTTCACATAATTCATGAAGGTTTTCCAACTTTTCAAAGTAAAATTCTAAACTATTAATCCTTTATACTAAACCTTTTCATAATGTCTATAGTATTTGACCACAGATGCCTTAGAAATATTGCTGGCATCTGCTGGGATCACCGGGTAAGTAATAGTGAGGTTAGACGCAGGGTATTAGGTAACGATGGTAAATCAGTTGATGAGGTTGTGAATCTTCATCGACTGAGATGGTTGGGCCACGTATTACGTATGCCTGAACACCGATTACCACGACGTGCAATGCTAACCGGTGTAGGGGATGGTTGGAAAAAAGTTAGGGGCGGCCAAACCAAAACGTGGAATCAGTGCTTGAAGTCACTAACTTCTAGTCTTAGCCATGTTGGTAGATGCAGACTACTTGGTTGGGGTCCGCGTGACTTTCGTAACCAATGGTTGGAGACTCTTGGTGACATGGCTCAGAATCGATCACAATGGCGTCGGTGTATACACTCCCTGTCTTCCCTTAAACTAAGAGATTAAAATCACTTCATATCTTTCTTTCTACGAACTAATTCTTCCTTCCTATACTATATCCTTATTGCAACCTTTGACCTAACCACTCCTATGAATCCGGTGTTCATCTTGTTGTGCTAATGAGGTATGGCAACCTGGACCGATGCACATATGTGCCTGGTCCTACGTTGTAGCTGACTGACTGACTGACTGTCTATAGTAAACTCCCACTTCCATATATCTACTTTGTTTAATATATAATGAAACTAGCTGAACTACTGATCATTTCATTTGTCTGCTAAACTGGTAGCAAAGACTAATCTGAACTCTTTCTTTCTTAATAGTTGTGATTGTTTGAAATAAACAACATAAGGTTACAGATTTTTGTCATTATAATCCTGAAAGCTATAGTCACATGTAATAGGATATTTCAACATTTTATGTTTAGTGTTATGTAAAGGAGTTTCAAGCACTCGATTATAAAACTTTGGATTGCAAGTTTAAGTAACACTCAATGTTACTCTAGATAGTTTAGAAGTCTTTGTAACTTCCCCATAAGTTTGGCTCAAAATGTACACGTACTCGTATTCACCTACTAAATTCAGTTACTACGTTTTTTATTGAACCTGTCGAATCACGTGTTTTATGCATATAGTACAACCCACATTGTTACGTAACTAGCTTATGCAGAAAGGGGGATGAATAAAGTTTCAAAGAGTTCAAATAAAAATATGACAATTCGTAAAGTCTTTGATTGCTAGTCTGAGCAATTATAAATATTCTGATTGAAGTCAACTAAGCAGAAGTCTTTATTTAATGATACATTCTATTCTGTCTGATGCACTAAATGCTTGCAACAGTAAATTTATAACAGATTTTTAAATTCCTGCAATCGTCGTCACTTTAACGTCGAATAAGATAAAGGGAAAAAATAAGATAGCATTTTCATTCTCAAGGTTACCATATTTTGGATAAATCAAAAGAAATTTATAACGTCCTCGGTAACCTTGGCACACTCTCGCGAGACCATAATTTATGGACAACTTGTCAGCGATGCCAAAGTAACCTTGAGAAAGTTCACCTACTAGAGTTTAAAGAAGATTATAAATTAGTGTGAGAAATCAGAACTGGGACTTAGAGTTAGAAACTATGGTTAGGAATTAGAAGTAGGGTTTACGTCACGAAATAACGTCAACTATAGTACTAATATTCTATTTAGCCATATGGATGAATGAAGTTTGCACCAAAATATAAGACTCACTTTCTTAAATCTGATTAGTTTGTTCATAAATTATAGTGTCGCTGAAATTTCTGGGAAAAATAGTGATATTTGAGATAATCTGGTTACTTTGTTACTCAATTAATTCACCGGTTGATTGAATAAAATTAGTAAGAGCTTTTCAACCTCTTGAGATTTTAAGGAACACTTGAAGATATCTCGTATTATATATCTATTCACCATTTCATCATACAGAATTCACATCTTATTGTTCAGAATTTTCACAATCCTCCCCCTAACTTTTTCACTTTGCTATATTCCTAATTACTGTTGGTTATTGTTGTTGTCGTCGATAGTGTAAGCGTATTTATATTTTGTGATAATCATTAGACTCTTGTATACCTTATGCTGTTTAACAGTTAAGGGCTTTTTGTCAAGTGTTACATTATTTTCATATCTCAGCAATAATCATATCAAATAAAAAGTTTTTATTATGCTATAAATTGAAAGTAACAGCTATCCAAAGGACTAAAATAATTAGTTTTTGAAAGAAAAAGAAATTTTTTTGTAAGATAAGATCACTGAGTTTGATTCCAGGATAGTTTAAAATGATTTCATTGTTTGATATTTCCTTGTTACTGTGTTGTATCATTTGGTTTCAGGCTTTTATGGAGAATATCTTTACACGTTCTATTTTTTTTTAGTCGGTTATTCATTTTTTCCTATTTTTGTTAATATGTTTCGACATAATCCATTAATAGATAAATAATATATCTGTAATATCCCAATGCGTATAAAAATTAGATTTTCTGACGTTTCGTGACTTAGTGTAAGCCACCCCTTCAGAGAATAAATAAATAACCAGGATTTGGTTACTTATTTATTATCTGAAGGAGTGACTTACACTAAGTCACGAAACGTCAGAAAATCTAATTTCTGTACTCAGTGGGATATTACAAACATTTTATTTATTTATAACAATCTACCCAATGCTCAATTTATTCGAAATTATCAGGTCAAACCTTGTAATGATACCTGTAATCCATTGATGAAATCGTTTCATACATCTTAAGAGATAAGTATCATATACTTTTCTTTATAATGTATATTAGGGGAAGAACTCACTGAATACAATATCTAATACGTTGTTATGATTAGTTCAGTCTGATAAGCTGACTGATAAGATTGAGGTTTCCAAAATTGATAAGTTTCACTCACTTGAGTGATCACCAAATCACAACCGCATGGATTTCAAAAGTCTGAGCATCTATCCAACTGATTATGTGTGTTAAGATATAGAAACTATTAGTCGTGTCATATGCTCAGTCGAAATGGTAAAACTGAGTCTGTTTGCAGATTAACTGTGGGACAAAATAGAGATCACAAATTAACCGATGATTCTTTCAATTTTATCTATCATTGGACTATTGTTAGATAAAATCTTGGTGTAACACTATCATGCCTATTTACTCGAAGCATCTGGACTGCTTGTTTTTGCAATATCTACCAAATAAAATTTATCTATAATATCTGAATCCATGCAATACTTTTTTGTTGATTAAGTTTTAATAGAACGATCAAATTAATATATTATGACAAAAAACCCAGATAACTTTGTAGTTGAGATGAAATAAAATAGTTGTTTCAAATCGATATGACGAATAGAAACGTGGTCTCATTAGTAGTTTACGCTTTCCATTTCTACCATTAATCGATTGCTTATTATCCGATAAGTCAACCCTACTGCTTTGGTTGAATATTCTGTATGTAATTTCCTAATATATTTTTAATCCGTTGGAGAGTTATTCTGTTTTCGTAAACCTGTTCGTGTGGGAATTCGGAAAAGCTTTCTCAAAAAAAAATTTATCAATTTGGCAGCCTCAATCACTGGAATTTTACTAATCAATTATTCGCTCATAACACGAAGCTCTTAGGACAGTTTAGATTGCTGAATAAGTATTTGAGTACTTTTAACAAAATCATGATTATAATTTTACTATTCATTGTGGGTTGATACATCTGTTTCTTGTTTGTTTTCTCTTAGAGAACTTGGTGAAAATTTATCAGATCAGGAACTCCGTGCTATGATAGAGGAATTCGATCAAGACGGAGATGGTGCGCGTAAGTTTATAGCAGCTAGATTATTTTGGTGCAGGTTAATTCTGTATACCTTCACTTTAAATAAAACACGCTCTTAGCAATGGTCTTTTATCAACTTATGATAATCACTTCAGTTTTTCAGGTTAATTTTGAGTGTTCCACTGTCACTAATTATTATTACTGTTATTATTGTGTGGTGTTTAAAATATTTAATGATCCGAGTGATAACGTATGAGGAATATTACGATCTTCAACTTGTACCGTACACCTCATCCTCTGGTTTTGACCTGAATCACTCAGAATTATTGTCTTCCATTGCTGTACGGACAGTTTTGGCTTACACCTTATAGGTAGAACTTCTTCAGAGTTGTCGGGTGTCTTTTGATTCATTCTCAGTAATACTCATTCAATTGTTTTATTCTGTTGATTCCAATCATCTTACAGCTATTTACATATTAAAATTACTTACTTACTTACGCCTGTTACTCCCAATGGAGCATAGGCCGCTGACCAGCATTCTCCAACCCACTCTGTCCCACTCTCCCTTCTTTTCTAGTTCCATCCAATTCTTGTTCATTTTTCTCATGTCTATCTCCAGTTCTCGGTGTAATGTGTTCTTTGATCTTCCTCTTTTCCTTTGGCCTTGAGGATTCCATGTGAGGGCTTGTCTTGTGACGCAGTTCGGTGCTTTCCTCAATGTGTGTCCTATCCACTTCCAGCGCTTCTTCCTGATTTCTTCCTCCACTGGGATCTGGTTTGTTCTCTCCCACAGTAGGTTGTTGCTAATAGTGTCCGGCCAATGGATCTGAAGTATTTTGCGTAGAAAATTGTTAATAAACACCTGTATTTTCTGGATGATGGCTTTCGTAGTTCTCCAGGTTTCTGCCCCATACAGTAGAACTGTCTTGACATTTGTATTGAAAATCCTGACCTTGGTGTTGGTTGACAGTTGCTTTGAGTTCCAGATGTACCTCAGTTGTAAATATGCTGCTCTTGCTTTGCCGATCAGCGCCTTCACATCTGCATCAGATCCACCCTGTTCATCAATGATGCTGCCCAAATATGTAAAGGTTTTTACATCTTCCAAATCTTCTCCGTCAATTGTGATTGGATTGGTGCATGCTGTGTTGTATCGGAGAATCCTGCTTTTCCCTTTGTGTATATTGAGACCTATTGCTGCTGAGGCTGCTGCCACGCTGTTTGTCTTCTCCTGCATCTGTTGTTGCGTTTGGGATAGAAGGGCCAGATCATCTGCGAAGTCTAGGTCATCCAACTGCATCTTAGATGTCCATTGTATCCCGCGCTTTCCTTCAGACGTTGACGTCTTCATGATCCAGTCGATCACCAGGAGAAAGAGAAAGGGTGAGAGTAAGCAACCTTGCCTAACACCGGTCTTCACTTCGAACGACTTTGTCAACTGTCCTCCATGCACGATTTTGCAGTGTAATCCATCATATGAGTTCTGTATGATATTGACTATCTTCTGAGGCACGCCGTAGTGTCGAAGAAGTTTCCATAGTGTTGTTCTGTCCACGCTGTCAAATGCCTTTTCGTAGTCAGTGAAGTTGATGTAGAGTGATGAATTCCATTCAATTGATTGTTCCACAATGATCCGTAGAGTTGCGATTTGGTCTGTACACGATCTATCCTTACGGAATCCTGCCTGTTGGTCACGAAGTTGGGCGTCTACGCAGTCCTTCATCCTGTTTAACAATACCCTGTTGAAGTCTTTTCCCGGTATTGAGAGAAGAGTGATGCCCCTGTAGTTATCACACTTGCTGAGATTGCCTTTCTTCGATAATTGATAAGAAGTCCTTCTTTCCAGTCTGTTGGTACTTGTTCCTCATCCCAAATCTTATTGAAGAGAATGTGGAGTATCCTTGCAGTTGCCGCTACGTCTGCTTTTAGTGCCTCTGCTGGGATGTTGTCCGGTCCTTCTGCCTTGCCACTCTTGATTTGTCTGATGGCCATGCTGATTTCTTCAATTGTTGGTGGGCCATCATTGATTGGGAGGTCCGTGGGTGCTGCTTCGATGTTGGGTGGGTTCAGTGGGGCTGGTCGATTCAAGAGTTCTTTGAAGTGTTCTATCCACCTGTTTTGTTGCTCTTCAATGTGGGTGATTACCTTGCCTTCCTTGCTTTTCACTGGTCGTTCTGGTTTGCGGCGATTTCCAGAGAGTTTCTTTGTCGTGTCATACAATTGTCTCATGTTTCCTTCTCTTGCAGCCTTTTCCGCCGTCGTTGCTAAATCTTCCACATATTTACGTTTGTCGGTTCTGATGCTCCTTTTCACTTGTTTGTTTATTTCCGTGTATTCAGCTTGTGCCTTGGCTTTTTCTGCTCTTGTTCGACTGGTATTGATCGCTGCCTTCTTGTTACTCCTTTCTTGAATCTTATCCAGTGTACCAACAGTGATCCATTCCTTGTGGTGGTGCTTCTTGTGACCCAGGACCTCATGACATGTTGAAGTGATTGCCTCTTTGATCCCCTTCCAGTTGCTCTCCACAGTAGTTCCTTCGCCATTGAGTAGATCATGAAAGGCCTGGAACTTGTTGCTGAGGACTATCTTGAATTTGTTGAGTTTGTTAGTATCCTGGAGAAAGACCGTATTGAACTTTTGTGATACTGTCTGCCCCGTTGTCCAGTGCTTCTTGAGTTTCAATTTCATCTTGGCGACCAGTAAGTAATGATCTGATGCTATATCAGCTCCTCTCTTGGTTCTCACGTCCTCTATAGTCCTCCTGAACGTTTTGTTGATGCAAATATGGTCGATTTGGTTTTGTGTAGAGTGATCCGGTGAAGTCCATGTGGTTTTGTGTATGCGTTTATGTGGGAATATGGTGCCGCCTATGACCAGCTTATTGAAGGCACATAGATTTGCAAATCTCTCACCACTTTCGTTTCTTTCTCCCAGTCCGTGTCGTCTCATGATGTCTTCATATCCAGTGTTGCCCGTTCCAACCTTGGCGTTGAAATCTCCCATCAGAATGGTCAGGTCCTTTGTTGGGCACTTCTCGACGATTGACTGCAGCCTATTGTAGAATTGATCTTTAGCGTCTTCATTGTAGTCGTTGGTAGGCGCATAGCATTGGATGATGTTAATTGAAATGCCCTCTTTCTTTGTTTTGAAGGAGGATTTGATGATCCTTGGTCCATGAGATTCCCATCCTATAAGTGCATTTTGCGCTTGTTTGGACAGCATCAATGCAACTCCTTGTGTATGTGGTGCATTTTCTTCTTCATGGCCGGAGTATAACAGGAGCTCTCCTGTAGTTAGTCTTTGTTGTCCAACTTGTGTCCAATGTGTTTCACTGATCCCAAGTACCTCTAGGTTGTATCTTCTCATTTCTGCAGCAATTTGGAAGGCTCTCCCGGTGTCCCACATTGTACGAACATTCCATGTACCTAAATAAATGGTTGCTCTGGTTGTCAGAAGGGGCATCGGCCTCGTAACTTCCGAAGGAATTCGGCTTTCATCATGAGGCGTCATAATTCTTCTAAATGAAGACCTTCTGACTCCCAGGGCAGAGTTTAAATGGTTTGAATAATTTTTTCTGGTTAGCGTTTTTTAGCGAGTTACTTTTCTACGGGATGGGGACGCTAACCCCATGCCCAACCCTCCTCCTTTATCCGGGCTTGGGACCGGCAGTAGCCCCCGGAGGGACTCCAGGCGGAGTTACATATTAAAATTAAAAGAAAGATAATGTCAAGTTTGTGTTTCATGACCACTTTACTCCATGATTCGATTTATGCACATACTAAAAGAATGAATATTAATGCATTTCAGCATATTGTATACATCGTTTTTATTCCCTACTATTAAAAAGTTACAATAGCAATAAACATTGTTATTGCTTTTATTCTTACTACGCTATATGTAGAAAGTTGAATACATTTCTGTCATTTCCGCTTTCTATATACTTTTTCTCATTCTCTTTTCATATATATTCTATGACCGATACTATATATATACTTTTAAAGCATAATTCTATTGTGTATGCATTATTAGTTGGTTACCGGCATCTAATTAACGTTTCTCATGTTCCCAATAATAAGCATACTATTTTTCATTACGTTTTGAATTCCTTATCATTATTGTCACTGGTGAATAACCATTCTATCACTATACATGTCCTACATTATTATAATTAATATGAATAATTTATTCTAGTTTCATATGTATATGTTTATACTTGTTGTTAATATCGTTACATCATTTATATGCTATAGCTCAACCAGTTTGTCTATATCCGTTATGTTTGTAAATCTATCTCCTGCTTTTGCATGCATGAAAAGATTGCCACTTCTTTAATATACATTAATATCCTAGTTATTTTTCACATTTACATTTGATCTTTGTTTCTTACCTGGGTTGTTTAGTTAATATTTCTCCAGACACGATTTGACAATGTATCTCAATACATTTAAATATTCTATCCACATATTGTTTAACTAACGTAGAAAATTTTCATACTATTCTTTAATTTCTCTTCGTTTCGCTTAGACAGAGGGAAACAAACAAAAGTGCTAAACTTGAAACATTATTCATCTCATATTTAATCGTCTTCTCCGTAAGCGAATAAGCTAATTTCAATTTTGAAACGTTGTAAGCGGAATTTCAGTATAGACCAATGAGACTCGTAGACGATTTGTAGACATGTGACATTTGAAAGTCGATATCAAATAAACATTCAGGGATGGTTTATGCGAACTATGTATTGGTTAAACATTCATTATCTACTATTTTGCAAGAAACAATCAATTTTTTAATTTATCATGACGAAACAATCTGTCTGGTTAACATACATTCTGTTTGACAGACATTTGTATATCTCATTTGTTTAAGTTGTCGAATTTCGTCTTATCTGTTAAAGATTCAAACCTTGTAATACTGTCTGAATTCGGACAGCTAGATGGCCTGATATGTCTCGTCATGAATATGTGCACATTATTAGTAATAACAATATACTAGACTGTTTGAATCCAGCTTGAACCCTAGTACCTGTTTATATATTTAACTTCTACTTCATTCGATGAATTACGAAATTTTTATCAAACCCATTTCTGTCGTTTGTTTATTTCTAAGTATATCCATTTCTTTTCTAATACAACTAACCAAATAGTTATCGGTCCGTTGGAAAATGTTGCTAGCTATTGACTGTAAATGCAAGTGATGTTATCCTAAAGTACACATCATATTTTGTGTTATGGATTTGTTACAGATTCTTAACAGTAATTCCTTATACCAGCAAGCCAAAACTCTACACATTTTCGGTGGAGAATTAAACATTTAGACTGCTCCCGCTAACTTTGCTTTAAAAGATTATGTTTAGGTTTTTAAATGAAGTTATTCGGATGTCGTAAATCAATAGTTAAAGGTCCTACATGACTTAAATGTATATCATCTACAATGACGCAGTTGCATCCACTGCTTACATTTCTTTGAATTTGAATCGTCTAATTTTAGTTGCATAGGTTTATTGAGAAATTGACTATATTCTCATCGTTTATTTTACCTTATTATTTTCTGTTTTTTGAATTTTTTTTGGAAATGTTTTGATAAATAAAAATCTATTCATTTTTATACGTTTTCTGTTTTCCATCACTCTATTAGTCTACTACACTACTCAATCTTATTTAAGTACACCATTTATTGGAACCCCGCTGATGGATAGGCAGTATTAACAAAGTGGACATATTTAATTCCAAAACGAAGAGAATGGGTTTGCTGTTACAGTACTCGATTCTCAATTGACAGATCACGGATTTGAACCTCATTTATCGACTCTTGTTTAGGCAGATAATTTATGTCACTTTTCCCTTACACAATTAATCTGGATTAAAGCAAACTTTTACTCGGAAAATGTGTGCAACTATTGTTCAATTGCACATTATATTAGTTTTAGTATTACTGACTTCTTGAATGGATAGTGAATGCTATTGATTTCTGAATGCAATAATTTTATTGTAGAAGTATTTATCCAATTATATTTTATCAAATACAAAAGCGTTGTGATTTTTTTAGGTATCTATTAGTAATTCAATTTATTATATATGTATTTTGATGCTTCTTAAAACAATTCAATAAATTATCAAATATACGTATACCACATTATTAATTCTTTCTACCATTTGACGTGAGCTTATATTTATAGCATATGTTTCGGTAGACAGAATGATCGATGTATTGATCTGTGTTTGAGAAGATCTATTTCTTCTAATTCAGAAACTACTCATTTAGTCCCCTGGAAAATTAAGCTATATTTTCAACCAATAGCATATGTCTGTTTCCTCAGAAAGCTAAACCAAATCTTAACCAACAACAAGTCCTCATTAACATATTTCACTTCTTATTTGGTCTATATCTGATTAACCTAGAGTATCATACATGGGATATGTATTCCAGTAAATTAATTGACTGAAGAGAATAATTGTTTTTGTTGTTTTGATGGTGAATCATCTAAAACTTAAAGAATATTATGTAAATAGGTTGAAAATCAGGTCAACTTTATTTTCTCTTACATGTAAAAATTTATAAAAAGTATATCTTTCTATTTGGATAAATTTGTTAAGGATAAATTCTTTATGCACTTCATAAATACGATAGAAATTCAATCTTATTAGTTATTTCATTATGTTCAGTGTCACTTTTGATTTGTTTTTTGTATTGTATTTGTGCAATATTCATAACCATATAATCTGAGTTATGCTTTTTGTACATAAATGAAGTTTACTTCACTGTAAGGAAACTAAGCTGTTTTATGAATTGCTTAATTATCTTTTTTTGTCATTTCTATTTGACCGGAGTAATTGCTATTATTAGTTAGCGGTTATTCGTGTGTATGTTATTATTCATATTTTCTTATTTTTAAAGGGAGGACTGTCAGACCCCACCACAGTGACAAAACCTACACTCCCGAGCGCACCCGATTAGGGTTCATTGTGAGTTTCAACCCACCGAGGTGCAATGGTGAACCTCCACCAGGGGTCAGAGCATTCTTGAACCCGGCGCTAGATATTAAGTATGTGAGGAATATATTAGTCTTGATTCGGAATGTAGGCACTTGTCGTTTTTCTTAACTCCCCTATCCTGATTGTAACTGATTACTGACAGAAAATTTTCCATCTCTTTAGTTTAAATTGTTTATCGTTTAGTAACTCTAAAATATGTTGAATCTGTTTTATGCGTAATATACATTGTATTCAGTATTGTCATATCAATTATTGTTGTAATTTATTCTCATACTTCCTTTCTTAGTTAATTTGGAAGAATTTATGGCACTAATGACAAAGGAAATATAATTCACCAAATTGTTTATTGAATCAAACCAATAACTGTGTACTTAGTTATTCCAGTTAAATACATATCTTCATTCTTCTGAACTCAGTTTGATATGACCAGTATAGTTTGAATCTGCCTTCCTTTTGAATTCGATGCTGTTTTTTGTGTTTGTGAACGATCAGCTCCCGATATGGGTGGTGATTATTGTTGATGGCAGTTGGTCTACACTAAAAAAAGTATTTCATCTTATTTATTTGCTCTTACTGGGCATCATCATCTATGTATATTATCATTCTGTTCAATTCTTTAAAATATTTCAAAAATAATCTACATTCTTCTACTTTTATTGTTCACAGCTTTCTCACATTTATGTAAAATACATTATATACGTATATAAATATCATGTATATTGTCTAACGTAAAAGCAACAAGAAATGCTCTAAGTCATGGTTAAACATAATCTATAAGAAAATATAGGTTTCATAACTTTTGAAAACCTGATTTGATTGTCGCTGTAATCATCAAGTAAATACACTTCATTATTGTGTGATGTTATATAATAAAATCAACTTTACATATCTTTTGTTAATGTGATAATCAGTTTTGATAATAACACTTGGAAAAATCCAGGACTTTGTCATTGTTTGTCAGATTACATAATCCATTCGATAGAGTACTAACCTGTTAATGTGAGGATTGTTGGTATAAATATATTCACTTTTAACTCTCATCAGCTGAATCGAATAATTAATCACGTAGCAGTAACCAATCCCTTGTCTAGACCTCGGCTATGAACATATCTTACTAGTCGGTATCATAGCGCACTTTGTTTGATGTTAAGTATTTGAAGGTAATCAACAGAAAGTCAGCTACAACGTAGGACTAGGCACATATATACATCGGTTCAAGTTGCCACACCTCATTAGCGCAACAAGATAAACACCAAATTCATAAAAGTAGTCACTTCAGTGGTAGTAATGCATAAAAGAAAGATTGTATGTATAGTACAGGAAGAAAGAATTAGTTCGCAGAAGGAAAGACATAAAGCAATTTTAATCTCACGGTTTAAAGGAAGACAAAGAGTGATCGATTCTGAGCCATGTCACACAAAGTCTCCAACCATTGGTTACGATAGTCACGCTGACCCCAACCAAGTAGTCTGCATCTACCAACATGGCTCAGACTAGGAGTTAGTGACTTCAAGGACTGATGCCGCTTTTTGGTTTGGCCACCCCTAACTTTCTTCCAACCGTCTCCAACACTAGTCAGCATTGCGCGTCGTGGTAATCGGTGTTCAGGCATGCGTAACACGTGGCACAACCATCTCAGTCGATGAAGATTCGCGACCTCATCAACTGATTTATCATCATTTCCTAATACTCTGCGCCTAACCTCACTATTACCTACCCGGTGGTCCAAGCAGACGCCAGCAATATTTCTAAGACATCTTCGATCAAATACTAGTAACTTACGAGTATCCTCTACTCTTCAACACCACGTTTCGCAGCCGTAAAGAAGAATAGAACGAACTGCTGTGCAGTATACTCGTCCTTTAATTGATAGACGGATATCTCGCCTTCGCCATAGGCGACGTGAGTTGACAAAAGCCAAACGAATTTTCTGAGTCCGTGCTGAGATTTCATCAGACACCATCCCATTTCGGCTGATCAGATGTGTTCAACTACTTCACTTCCGATCCTTAGTTCAGGTGTTGATTCAGGTCAGTCCTGAAGCAACAACTTGCATTTAGAGTGGGAAGAACGCATACCAAACACTCCGGCATTGTTGGTCATTGCTACTGAAGGACTCTGCATTTTATCAGCGTCTTCACGAAGCAGGACTATGTCATCTGTGTATTCCAAGTCCATAAGTGGACCTCTTGGTAGTTGGTCAATTCCTGAAAGTTCAGTCGACGAGAAAGTTATTTCCAGCAGTAGGTCTGTGATGAAGTTAAACAAAAACGAAGATAGTAAACAGTCTTATGGGACACCATTTGAGGTTGCAAAATCAGATGACAGTTCGCCATAAGCTCTGACTCGACTGGTATTTCATACACATAGTTCCCTTTATTATCTTAAAAAGAGCAAGAACAAAGGTTGATACAGAATAATATGAATTAATTTTATTTCGTTAGGTTCTCATCAGCTGCTTACAACCTAAAATATTTAAAATTCAACATTATTACAGATATTGACATACTTATATATAAGAGGGTACGGCCGAGAGTGGGGAGAGTCCGCTCTCCCTCTCGAAATACTCTCATACGGCCGCGCGTATACAGCCTCTGCCAGGGAAGTCCTACTCATTGCCTTTTCGTGGCGGGGGTGTTGTTTACGAAAATGAGAGGACGAAAAGCGAATGTCCGTCGCTTTAACCGGATTCCAAACCAATGGTGCACATGGGCTCCAGTATCCTGCGGGAACAAATGGCGTATGAACCAATCGTTGGTCACCGGCTACCATGGGATAGCATCTCCTTACGATGCTCCACTTCCTTGTGGGTTAGACCTTTAGGTCAAAGGCTCGGGGAGTGGCCCCCTAAGATAACCACCTGCTTCGGTTTGGGCACCCGGGCAGTACCACAGCCCACACACAAATGATGAACTCTTTATGCCTATGGAAATTACAATTGATTCAAATTATTACCATTACAATTATTGTCATTATTAATACTATTATTATTATTACTATTATTGTCATTATTATCTTCCCGATTACTGCTTATACTCTTATTACCTCTACCACTACGGGATTTGAATCGACAAGTGGATCTCTGTGCTAATGTGGTGTGGCAACTCGAACTAATGTACGTGCGTACGAAGTTCTACGTTGTTACTGACTGACTGTCATTATTATTATTATTTTCCACATTATTCACCCTCTTTTATACTTATACAGCGGCTCGTCTTTGGTGGAGATTCGACTGTATCTAAACGTTCTCGAGTCACTGTCCGGTTGAAAATTGTATGTTACCACCGAATACGAGGACTGAAGCAGTTTTTCTGAAACCACATCCACCATTCAAACTGGCTGCCTTCAACGTTCGCACACTTACGCAGGTCGGACAACAGATAGGGCTGGCTATGTCTTTGGAAAGTCTTAATATTGATGTTTGTTGTCTATCCGAGACCCGTATTCAAGACTCTGGCGAAGTACTACAAATTCGCTCTCTATCTGTCGCTTCGAAAAGCTTGTTTTACGTGCGCTTATCCGGGGACCCTGTGGCATCTTCGTCTGGTCTTGCTGGCGTTGGTGTCGCAATAAGCGCTAGAGCTGAAGCAGCACTAATCGATTGGATCCCCATTAACAGTCGGTTATGTGCTGTTAGATTAGAAAGTTCCATCAAAGTGAGAAGACATCGGCGTGAGAAACGATGTCTTTTCGTCATCTCCGCCTATGCCCCGACAGATTGCAGCCCGGATGCAATCAAGGATGAGTTTTACCACCAGTTATCTGTTCTTCTCCAGAAAGTGCGTTCGACAGATATTGTAGTACTAGCCGGAGACTTGAATGCTCAGGTCGGGCGTCTAGGCACAGAAGAGAGTCGTTTAGGTGGCCGATGAGGACTCGTTGGTCGCAGGTCAGATAACGGGGACCGTCTACTGCAACTGTGCACAGACCACAACCTGTTTCTGGCTAGCACTAACTTTCAGCACAGTCATCGCCGATGTGCCACCTGGCGTCCTCCCTCTTCATCTCAAGCCTGGACTCAGATTGATCACATCGCGATCAGCTACCGCTGGCGTGGTTGTGTACAAGACTGCCTCTCCTTTTGGAGTACCTATCTGGACTCTGACCATGCTTTGGTCTGCGCCAATCTTACCTTACTTTTCAGTGGACAACGAAGTGACCGCCACCAACGGATTGATGTTAGCAAGCTGTTTGCAACTCCTATTGCAAGTAGGTATCGAATCGAGCTAGCTTCTAGGCTAGCTACCATTCCACCGAAAAGTATAGATGAGCATTGGTTGCAATTGCATGACGCCATGAAAATGGTGGGTACAGTCAGTTGTGGGTTCGCGAAACGTCACGCTTACAAGCACTGGGTTTCTTCTGGCTCCTTACAACTCATTGAAGCCCGTCGGTCTACTCTGGGTGACCGTGAGTTTGACCATAAACGAAGGATGTTACGT